GGGCCTGGCAGTTTTGTAGTTGGCGGGTCTGGTGAGCCTTTTCTCTCTCTTTTTTTATCTAGGCAAGGGAGGGGCCGCCAGCAGCCTCACAGCACTCGACGCCGCCAGCGGCCTTACAGTACTCGACACCCAAGTGGCCGGTGGCCGCCATGTCGGGCGGCACAGTCCTGGAGGAAAGGGCCGCGTCCTGCCCTCCTCCGTTCCCAGCACAGGACACAATGTCCAGACATAGTAGGTGTTCTATAGACATTTACTTAATTAATGAATCATATCTCCTAACATCTGCCTCAACTTGCAATGCTCCAGGGAACATGACAGATACAACTTTACCTCCACATCAGCATTCTGGAAAATTTGAATCTGTGTCATTTTCAAAAGACACTTTAGTCATCTTTTTGTTGAGCCTATGTGTATTGGAAAGTCTCTCCCTAGAGCCACTGGTATTCACTTTACTTACTTTAATTTGTTATTTAATTAAAGTATTTATTTAATGCTGTGCTAGCATTTAGGGGAGAAGGGAGATTGTGTAACAGAGACGCAATAAACTGTGACCCCTTCTCACAGGGCCTTTCTCTCTGAGACGGAAGGTAGGTCATACATAACTATTACAAGAAAATAATGGTGAGACCTGCTTCCTGCCAGGACGAATTAGCATGTGATTTGGATTCCCACCCCTAAAATCAATCCTGGACAAGCCATACAGAGAAAATAGTGGGGAACTCTGGTGAGACTGAAAGGTGTTTTGAACTAGTGGGTGGGTTGCTGGCCCTTGGCTGTGAGAAGGTTCTTGGAGGCAGCCTGCTCTCGCCTCTCCCAGGGTTGGCCTTGAGTAATCATTGTCCGTTCCACGCTACAAAAAAAAAATGACAAGATCCTGACTGCCAAACAATCTTGCAAAAAAAAAAAAAAAAAAAAAAAAAAAAGATCCTGCTGCCTGTTGAGGGTTGGGGAAAAATCCAGGCCCAAATCCTGCTGGAGTGGGAGGAGCTGGGGACAGCCAGTCACAACTGACTGCCGTAGTCACGGCTCCTCTGCCACTCCAGCTACCAACCCTGGGGCGACTAGAGCAGGGAGGACAGGCATCGCCCAGTGCCCCTTACCCTGAAGTGCCACTCAGGTGACGCCACAGTGACCGTGGTGTTGTGTCAGCCTAGGACTCAGGCTGCCCTTCCTTCTCTTTACACATGACACTGACACAGATGGCTCTCGTGGGTCAAAGCAATAAGACCTTTAGGAAGTGCCCCCACTGCAAAAGACAAACAGCAAACAGGACCATAGGTGTCCCTAAAAGAAGTATTAGAAAATATAGACCAGCCATTTAAAATGAGCATAAAAGCACATTTAAATAAATAAGAGAAGCTATTATAATATGAAAAAAAAATGAAATATAGGGAAAAATATATAGAGGTTCTGGGTGTGAAAAAATATAACAGTTGACATAAAAACCACATTAATGATGGTTTAATTAGTAAATTGTAGGACTACACTGAAGAATAGTCTCAAAAGATAGAAGAATAAAAAAAATAGAGAAAAAAAGTCAAGAGATGGAAGAGAGAATTCTCAAATATGGAAAATATGAGTTCCGTAAAGAGAAAAAAAAAATAAAAATAGCACAAAATAGTTAAAGAAGTACAAGAGATTAATTCCCAGAAGTAAAAGATAGAGATGATACACAATGTCTTACAGCAAGACAAGAGAAAACCAACTTTAGATAATATATAGCAAAAATTTAAATGTCAAAGTTAATGAGAAAATTCTAAAAGATTCCAGCTTGAAAGGCTGGCAGATTTTTCTAACTATGACACTGGATTTGAAAGAAACATTGGGATGATATTATTTAAAATACTAAAGGGAAAAGAGCTTAAAACTTAGAATTTAATACACAACTAAAATTTATTCAAAAGTGATGGTATAATAAAAATATTCTCAGCTGGGTGCAGTGGCGAACACCTGTAATCCCATAACTTTGGGAGGCTGAGGTGGGAGGACTGCTTGAGTCCAGGAATTCAAGGCCAACCTGGGCAACATAGTGAGAGCCCTGTCTCTTAGGAAAAAAAAAAGAAAAATTCTCAAGTGTGCAAGGCTTCAGAAGGTTTGCCATACAAATATTCATGTTTAAAATACTTTTGGAGGAAGTATTCTAATTAGAGAAAAACATCTCAGGGGGTGCCAAAAGGTATGAGAAGTAATATTGACCAAACACTTTGGTAAAGTAGAGAGAAAGTATATGAATGGATTTGAAACCATGCTGAAGTTCTTATTCAGTTAGAGAGAAGATATGAAACAAAAAGACAATGACAACTAAACAAGAAAATTTGAAAAACAGAAATACTGAAATAAATAAGGTACTAGAAAAAATCCAAATACATCAATACTTACACTATACAATAGGGCAAAGACAGTACCATGTGCTCACCAAACCAGTGCATCTCCTGAACACACAACTAAAGTATTAAGAGTTTCTGGTCCAGGCCGGGCGCTGTGGCTCACGCCTGTAATCCTAGCTCTTGGGAGGCCGAGGCGGGCGGATTGCTCAAGGTCAGGAGTTCAAAACCAGCCTGAGCAAGAGCGAGACCCCGTCTCTACTATAAATAGAAATTAATTGGCCAACTGATATATATATAAAAAAAAAAAATTAGCCAGGCATGGTGGCGCATGCCTGTAGTCCCAGCTACTCGGGAGGCTGAGGCAGAAGGATCACTCAAGCCCAGGAGTTTGAGGTTGCTGTGAGCTAGGCTGACGCCACGGCACTCACTCTAGCCTGGACAACAAAGTGAGACTCTGTCCAAAAAAAAAAAAAAAAAAAAAGAGTTTCTGGTCCAAAGCCATGTGAACAGACATGCCTTCCCTGGGGTCTCTCTCCTACCTGAAAGCTGGAAGTGAAAGTCTTTGCAATAGTGGAGATGCAAAATGGAGCTAGCCTGGGTTCATGAGTCACTTTTTGGAGGAGAGCTACAGAATGTCCAACCTGCCTTGAACCGCACATGGGTAAAAAATAAACCTGTGTTTTGTTAAACCACTGAGACTTCAGTGTTTTTTGCAGAAGCAAGTTTGCTCACTTTGACTAATACATGGACTGAACCACCAGTTGGAATCTGACAGAGATTGTCAGGTTGAATCAAAAACAAAATCTATCTTTATGACATTCACAAGTGCTACATCTAAAGTACACAGAAAGAGTAAAAACAAAAGCAAACAAATACCCAAAACTAGTTGTGGAGCTTATTAACATCAGACAAGACAGACTTTAAGACAGAAAGACTGTCAGGACATCACTGGACACGGTGGCGCATGCCTGTAATTCACGATGCGGGAGGATCGCCTAAGGACAGGAGTCTGAGCCCAGCCAGGCAGCCTGGGCACCTAGTGAGACTTTCTCTCCAACAAAGGAAAAAAAAAAAAAAAAAAAGGAAAGAAAGGAAGAAAGACAGTCAGAACAAACTGGAAAAAAGTTTAATTCACAGACTATAATAATTCCAAAGAGTAAGCACTTAATAGCCTAAACGTGTAGAGGACAAAAACTGATTTAAAAAATTGAAACAAATTGAAAAACCTACAGTCATAGCACTACTCCTAGTTCTTTATAGGTCAGTCCCCAAATAAGGAAAGATATGATAAATTAGAACAATGAAATCAACATGCTTGGTCTAATAAACATGTACATGCATAAAATTCTGCATCCAATTCATTAGAGAACACATGAAACATTTACAAAAATTGACCACACTCCAAGTCATAGATAAAATTCAATAAACTTCAAAGAAGATGCATCATACTGACAAGGTTCTTGGCTTAGCATGCAATTTAAGTGTTAAGGTAATAACAAAAAACATACATTTGAAAAATCTCCATATATTTTGAAATCAAACACACCCAACAGTTACTAAACAAAGCAGCAGCATGCTTTATCATGAGTTTGGAATAACTTACCCACCTGTCGCCCCATCGTCCCATGACTCCAGCTCCCACTCTACTCGAGAGGAGATCAAGGTGGTGAGGACTCTAAGCCAGGGCAGGATCTAAGCAGTGAGATCATTCATGGACAGATACCTGCTGAGCGCCCCACTAGGCACTAGGCATTATTGTAGATACTGGGGAACGGAAACAAAAAGAACTAAGATTAGGGCTCCCATAAACTGTGCCACCCAAATCCATTACGAGCTGTAATTTGTTAGTTTGAGATTGGCTCCACTCAGTGTAGGAAACCTGTATTCAGTAAGGAAAGAGCATCAGAGCAATTTTACCAGAAGTCCGTCCACAGGCTGCCCAAGAGTCACCTAGGGAGCAGGCAGGAATCACAGGTCCCCTGGCCCTACCTTGGAAAGGCTATTCTAGCTCATCAGGTCAAGAAGGAACCAGGAACGCGTGTTTTTAAATTAATTTTCAATACTCTTTATTTTTACACTAAATACACTTCTTTTGTATAAAACAGTCAATAGACACAAGTAGACTATCTAATATCTTATCGAGATAAAATATACTAGGCTTTAACGCCCAGCTGCAAAAATAAATACAACACAGTTAAGAGAATGGCCTTGCTGGAGTAACAACCTCTATATATTATTTTATTAAAATTTAATAAATGGATGTAAAGATATTTCACAGGCCGAGATAACGTAATACAAATTGTGGAGAGACTATCAAGAAAGTATAATAGGGCCGGGCGCGGTGGCTCACGCCTGTAATCCTAGCTCTCTGGGAGGCCGAGGCGGGCGGATTGCTCGAGGTCGGGAGTTTGAAACCAGCCTGAGCAAGAGCGAGGGACCCCGGTCTCTACTATAAATAGAAAAAACTAATTGGCCAACTAATATATATAGAAAAAATTAGCCGGGCATGGTGGCACATGCCTGTAGTCCAGCCTACTTGGGATGCTGAGACAGAAGGATCGCTTGACCCCAGGGGTTTGAGGGTGCTGTGAGCTAGGCTGACGCCACGGCACTCACTCTAGCCTAGGGCAACAAAGCGAGACTCTGTCTCAAAAAAAAAAAAAAAAAAAGAAAGTATAATAGGGATGATAGAATCAATCTGATACTACCGGGCTGATTATATAAACAAGAGAATAAACAAATAAAAGAGGCCGGGCGCCGTGGCTCACCCCTGTAATCCTAAAAGAGGTATGTACGATAATCAATATGTTGGTTAATATATATATAATGGAATCATTTGGGGAATTCAGACAAGCAATTGTTACAAATGGAATTTAGAAATCACAGACAAGACATATGATTTGAGGCTGGGCGTGGTGGCTCACACCTGTAATCCCAGCACTCTGGGAGGCTGGGGCGGGCGGATTGCTCGAAGTCAGGAGTTCGAGACCAGCCTGAGCAAGAGTGAGACCCACATCTCTACTAAATATAGAATGAAATTAATTGGCCAACTAAAAATATATAGAAAAAATTAGCCGGGCATGGTGGCGCATGCCTGTAGTCCCAGCTACTCGGGAGGCTGAGGCAGAAGGAATGCTGGAGCCCAGGAGTTTGAGGTTGCTGTGAGCTAGGCTGACGCCACGGCACTCTAGCCGGGGCAACAGAGTGAGACTCTGCCTCTAAAAAAAAAAAAAATAAAAAAAAAAAAAAGACATATGATTTGAACCCAAAACCTAGCCCCAAATTACAAATATCTTTTTTTTTTTTTTTTTTTTTTTGTGAGATAGAGTCTCACTTTGTTGCCCAGGTAGAGTGAGTGCCGTGGGGTCAGCCTAGCTCACAGCAACCTCAAACTCCTGGCTCAAGCAATCCTCCTGCCTCAGCCTCCAAGTAAGCTGGGACTACAGGCATGTGCCCACCAATGCCGGCTAATTTTATATATATATATCAGCTGGCCAATTAATTCTTTCTTATTTATTAGTAGAGACTGGGTCTCGCTCTTGCTCAGGCTGGTTTTGAACTCCTGACCTGGAGCAATCCACCCGCCTCAGCCTCCCAGAGTGCTAGGATTACAGGCGTGAGCCACCGCGCCCGGTCACAAATATCTTTATTAACTGTACTGTCAATGTTTTCTCTACTATTTTGGATGGGGGAGAGGTAAACTGAAATTTGTGCCACCTGGATCAATAAATCCTGCCACTATAATAACTCTTCATCTAATGAAAATGCTGCATACACGTAATTAAGCATGAAATTTCAGATTGCACATGCATGCTTTATGTCTAAAGACAAAAGATATTTAATACCACAGAACTGGCCAGCTTTTCAGGTAGGTAAATTGTTACTTCGGCAGTACAGTAACGCCCTAATTCCATTAAGGCCGCAGACCTGGCTGCAGAGCAGGGACTATTTAGTCTAAAAGCGGCGTTATTCCGCGCGGATGTGGCGGCGCTTCCTACCCGTGGGCCGCGCCGCCGCGGCGCGGAGGGGCCCGCGCGCCCCCGGCGGTGATGGGCTGCGGGCCGGCGCGGCAAGGTGACGAGAAGAGAGTGCTGCCCGCAGAGGAGGGGCTCAGGCCTGTGTGGAGAGGGTCTAGGCGGACACAGACACCCAGAGGGGCCTCACAGGACGGGAGGCCGCTTCTCGGAGCGGATGCGGCAGACCCGGCCAGCTCCGTCGCTCTCGGTGTGTGGCCTGCTGGTCGCCGGGGCCTCGTACGGCCGCCGCGCCCGTTCTTCGCCAGACTCAGGCCCGAGGCCGAATCGGAGTGACCAGAGGCGACAGAAAGGACAGATGGGGGCTCCTGTTGCGGGGTTGCACTTTTCCCCGCTGCTGGCGTTTAGCGGGTACTCCTTCGACCGAAAGCCACTCACGCGCGGCGTCCGGCAACGCGTGCCGTCTTGGTGGCCTTCTCGCCGCCTGCGTGGACGCCGGCTCTGCGAGTGTTCCAACCGGGACTGAACCCTCCGGCGCGGCCGCCAGGGCGCGACCGAACCCAGGGCCCAGGCCGTGGACTCCTGCCTTCCGTTGCACAAGGAAGAAAATACACATTTTGGTTGAGGATTTAAAGTTTTATTTTTAAAAATTGTACTCTGTATCCAATATTTCCCTTTTAAAGTTTCTTGATAAAATTTATTTCATTTTTAATTTTTTATTTTAGCGATTATGCGGGGTACAAGTGGTTAAGGTTATATATAGGTTGCGCCGTGCCCCCGGCCCCCCCCCCAGTTAGAGCTCAAGCGTTCCAGTCCCCAAACGTGCACATCTCACTCCTTGGTTTGTATACACCCATCCCCTCCTCCCCACCCTGGCGACACCAATAAATGTTACTACCTTTATATGTCCACTTAGGTGCTTGATCCGTTAACACCAATTTGCTAGGGTGAGTACTGCTGTGCTGCTGGTTTTTCCAATTCTTTAGATACTTCACTTAGGTAGAATGGTTCTCAGGCTGCATCCAGAATATACAAGAGTGTGCATATCACCATTGCTCTTAAAGCCCTGAGTATATTCCATGAGTATACAGTATACCACATTTTATATCCACTCACGAATTGGATGGGGGCAACTTGGTTGTTTCCACAGCTTCTGCACATTGTGAACTGTGATGCTATAAAACATTCAAGTGCAGGTGTCTTTCACGAAGGTGACTTTTGATCTTGTGTGGGTAGATTGCCCGTAGTGGACATTGCTGGGATCAAAGTGGTAGATCAAGCTTGTATCGCTTTGAACGGTAATTCGTCCATAACCTCTTCCACATGAGATCGAACTAGTTTGCAGTCCACAGAGGTGTAGGTAGTGTTCTGTCTCTCCGCATTCCACGCCAGCTGTTTATTGTTTGAGAACTTTTTTGATAAAGCCATTCTCCACTGGAGTTAACGTGATATCTCATTGTGGTTTTGATTTGATTTCCCTGACTGATTAGAGATGTTGAATTTCTTTCATGTTTGTTGACCATTTCTGTCTTCTTTTGAGAAGTTTCTATCATGTCCTTTGTCCTATTTAGTGTTGAATGGCTTGGTTTGATTTGTTTTGCTTGATTTTCCTGAGTTCTAAAAGATGTTCTAGGTTATCAGCCTTTATCAGATGTGTAGCTGGCAAAAAATTTTCTCTCCGCATTCTGTGGGTTGTCTGGCTCTCTTGGACAGTTTCTTGCGCTGTGTGAAGCTCTTTAATTGGTCAGGCTGTCCCATTGTGTTTATTTTTGTGTGCTGTTGTGATTGTCTTGGCGTCTTCTTCATAAATTCTTTGCTAGGCCCAATGTCTAGAAGGGTATTCAACATTTTCCTCTAGAATTCTAATAGTTTTACACCTAAGGTTCAAGTCTGTTACCCAGCGTGAGTTGAGTTTTGTGAGAGGTCAAAGGTGTGGGTCTTGTTTTAGTCTTCTACATGTGGCTATCCAGTTTTCCCAGCACCATTGATTGAATAAGGATTCTTTTCCCCAGCATATGTTTTTGTCTGCTTTGTCGAAGATTATTTGGCTATATGAGGATGGTTTTATATGTGGGTTCTCTGTTCTGTTCCACTGGTCAATATTCCTGTTCTTGTGCCAGTCCCAAGCTGTTTTAATGACTATAGCCTTGTTAGTATAGTTTGAAGTCTGGTAAATTGATACCTCCTATTTTGTTTTTATTGCCTAGGATTGATTTTGCTATATGGGGTCTTCTCTGGTTCCATACGAAGCATAAAATTATTTTTTCTATATCTGTGAAAAATGGTGATGGTATTTTGATAGGGATTGCATTGACTCTGTAGGTCACTTTGGGTAGTATAGACATTTTAACAATGTTGATTCTGCCAACCCATGAGCATAGTATATTCTTCCATCTGTTTACGTCTTCTGCTATTACCTTCCTCAGTGTTTCATAGTTCTCACTGTAGAGGTCTTTTACCTCCCAGTTAAATATATTCCAACGCACTTTATTTTCTTTGTTGCTATTTTGAAGGGAATTGAGTCTTTGATTTGGTTCTCACTTTACTGTTGTTGGCGTGTATGAATGCCTCTGATTTCTGTGTATTGATTTTGTATCCTGAGACTTTACCAAATTTATTTATCAATTCAAAAGGAGTCTCTTGGTTGAAACCTTGGGGTTTTCTAGGTATAATATCATGTCATCAGCAAATAGTGAGAGTTTGATCTCTTCTGCTCCCATTTGGACACCCTTAATTCCACTCTCTTGTCTGATTGCTGTAGCGAGGACTTCCAGCACTATGTTGAACAGAAGTGGAGATAGTGGGCAACTTTGTCTTGTTCCAGTTCTAAGTGGGAATGCTTTCAATTTTTCCCCATTCAGTATGATATTGGCTGTGGGTTTGTCATATATGGCTTGTATCATTTTTAGGTAAGCCCCGTCTATGCCTATTTTGTTGAGCGTTCTTATCATAAAAGGGTGTTGAATTTTGTCAAATGCTTCCTCTGCATCTATTGAGAGGATTGTATGGGTCTTTGTTTTTGCTTCTCTTTATATGGTGAATTACATTTATAGTTTTGCATATGTTGAACCATCCCTGCATCCCTAGAGTGAAGTGCACCTGGTTGTGATGAATTATTTTCTTGACAAGCACCTGGATTCAATTGGCTAGGATTTTGTTGAGGATTTTTGCTTCTATACTCATAAGGGATATTTGTCTGTAGTTTTCTTTTTTTGTTGCATCCTTTCCTGGTTTTGGTATCAGGGTTATGTTCGCTTCATAAAATGTGTTGGGGAGGCTTCCATGCTTCTTGATGTTGTGGAATAATTTCTGCAGGATAGGCACCAGTTCTTCTTTGTAGGTGTGGTAAAATTCGGGTGTGAAGCCATCTGGTCCAGGCCTTTTCTTTTTAGGAAGGTTTTTTATTGCTGTTTCAATTTCAGTACTGGATATTGGTCTGTTCAGGAGTTCTGTTTCTTCCTGGTTGAGCCTAGGGAGGCTGTGTGTTTCTAAGAAATTGTCAATTTCCTCCACATTTTCCAGTTTATGTGCATAGAGGTTTTTGTAGTATTCATAAATTATATCTTGTATCTC